GAGAGAGAGAGAGAGAGAGAGAGAGAGAGAGAGAGAGAGTCATCCCTAGAGCGTTATGGTGACACTCTGTGCGCCCCTCTCAGATTTTTTGGAGGAAACAACAGCGGCAAGCTAAAAAAGCAAAGAGGTCGAGCGATATATCCTATCATCAGGGTCAAGTGGCGTGAGGGAGGGAAATGGAGGGGGGGGGCACAACGAAGGATGATGGAACAGAGACAGGCAATCCTGTAAAGTGTTAAACTTTGATGTTCGTCCAATTATTGATAAAAAAAATACTCAACCTGAAACACCTTTGGTCTGCTGATAAGCAATGGAAATAAAGAATAAGAAGTTGGCAAAGAAGAGAGATGAACAAGAACAGGGAACTAAAGGAGTGGGAAAAGGCAAGGCTGGAGCAGCGGCTGCAAAGCCAAGTCACATCGCAACCAACTACCTATGGAGAAGTTCTCTGACTGGAAAGAATGGTTCTTTTCCCGAGGTTGTGCCGTGGCGGCGCTCGCCTCTGCAGAATATTTCAGGCGACAGTCTATTTGTCACGACCCTGACGCATTTCTAACGTCACGCCGTCTTCTGTTCTTAGTTCGGTGAGGTGAGTGTGTGAGTGTGAGTGTGTGTGTGTGTGTGTGTGCGGGAGTGGGAGAGAGAGATAATGTGTGTCTGCACCTGTATAGTTGCCCAACTGTCGATATACATGGGTTTAGTTCATCAAGTTTTGAAGTATTGCAAGAACTGTGAATTGGTACAGAACAAAAAAATTTACACATCGATTGCAAAAAGAGTCTCAACAGTACTTCCCCATCTCCTTTTAGAAGTGGGTCATTACAAACGTGTCATTCGTTAACATTTTATCAGTAGTCGCGTCCCTCCCAGCCCGCCTCTCTCTGTCTCTCTCTCTCTCGTCCAGATGTTGGAAATGGATGATAGCTTCTCATTATCTCGTCCTGAGCCCTGACGGGACCGTCGGCACAAAGTAACAGGCTTTCATTTTCATATTTTGAGTGGTGGGCGATCGAGTGAGTGACGGTAGTATAGCCTGAGGGTGAAGAGCTGGAGTAAACCGAGAGAGGTGTGGCCACTGCGATGTGTGTGTGTGAGTTTGTTTGTGAGAAAGTCTGAGAGAGAGAGAGAGAGAGAGAGAGAGAGAGAGAGAGAGAGGGGGGGGGGAGGCAGAGAGCGAGCGATGGAAAGAGTGAGTAAGCGTGGCAGCCAGCCACGCTACTCATCATGACTTTACTTCTCGCCGAAACGAATTCCATGAGCGTATAAGTAATTCATGAATATTTTAACGCGCTCTTCTCACGTGTGCGTGTGTTGAGCGAGAATGGGGATGGCGAGAGAGTTTGAGACCGCACGGAAGAAGAAAAGTGCTTGCTGGCATCGCCACCGTGAGAGAGAGCGGTCGGCGGGTGGTAAGCGAAAGAGGAGAGAGCGGGAAGGAGGGAGAGCAAAGAGACGACGCTTCCTTCCGCTTTTGTGCCGGTTGCTGGGCTGGCCTCTACTTTGAAGGCGAAAGTGATAATCTTGCATAAGTCAAGTGGCTTGGTGGCCACTGACTTTTAATTCCATACAATATCTCCGTGCTCCAGCATTCTGGGCACACCGAAAGAGAATATGATTGAAATCAAAGTAAAGTACGACTTAAGTGACTACAAAAGGTTGGAGTTGGAGACACAAAGAAAAAACAAAGGTAGGAATTAAAGCCTTTATAGGGGTGTTACACTTTGATGCCTTTGCTAATACATAAAATGTTCAAAGGGATTAAATTTTAGACTATTTGGGTAGTTCTAAATGAATGCATTTCGAGGGGATCTGATTTTTAATGCCTTATTAGTAAAGACTTAAATCCCGTTCTGTGCAACCCTTGTTTTATTAGGAAACAGAGTTCTGTGAAAAGGGGCATTGATATAGTAGAAGAAAACACTTTCAAAACTTGGTCAAAAGTAGTAGATCACTAAGCGAGATAATGATGCCCACACTGAAAATTTTGTCCAAGATTCGCAGTGCAATCCATCGCCCTTCTTTGCAACGCCAAAGCAACTTCATAATATCATAATTAAGTTATTTTTCGCAAGTTTAGTTCATGTACACATACCGGGTGTTTCATAAAAGACACAGGTGGGAGCGGGTTTGCCTACCCGCTTTGGCCTTAAGGCGCCACAGCCCCTTGGGTGGGCAAACCTACCCGCACCCGTGTCTTTTATGAAACACCCGGTACAATCAGTTTGACTAGTACATAAAGAAATCCATTCATTTAATGCAAAGAATTCCTTCGCAAGCTCCTGGAACCCTTGATGACAACTGGTCTGCTGTTGACTCCCTATAGACGGTCTAAATGCTTCATAGAGCTCTGTGTTTGTTCCATTTCCTAACAAGAAACACGAACAAAAGGTCTCTGAGAAAGCTCGCAGTAAGAACATCGGGAGAGACGACAAGAGACAACGCATCCAGGCCCAAAACCTTCCCATGTGTCGCAAGACCAGTGTTTTACATCCCCCTGCCCCCAAATCCTCCCTGCTCCTCCCCTTCACCGCCGCATGATGCCCGCTGCTCCGATATTTTCTTAGCGGCCTCCCCTTCCCCCGCCCGTCTCTTTCTCTCTCTCTCTGTTGTCGCACATGTGCTACTTTCAGAGCAAGTTTGTCAAAATAAGAGGAAGAAGGGGAGGAACGAAAGACCGAGAGAGAGAGAGAGAGAGAG